TGAATGCCAGTGTGACTTGAGTGACCTGTGTTTGCCAACATACCTTGACAGCTGGCCAAACCAAGTTGACCTGTACACCTTTTGGGAGCATTTCTTAATTGCTATTACTCTTGTTTTAGGTTTTCTCCTGATGGACGATTAATTGTGTCAGCCAGTGATGATAAAACTGTCAAACTGTGGGATAAAACCAGCAGAGAATGTATACACTCCTTCTGTGAGCACGGGGGGTGAGTACCTGGCAGTGCACGAGGACTGGCTGCCTTGACTGATTGCTGAAATGGTGATGCCTGGTGAATGTACACCTGATTCTGTGACTGCAGTCAGAGGTTATTATCTTGGCAATCATTTCTACCTCTTAAAAAATCATTAGCACCTATTACAAAAGCTGCCAGCAGAGGACAAGATGCAAAAAGAGTTTCCAGAATTGCTTTGACCTTCTCATGACTTGTCCAGATTGGAACCTCGAGGGTTATATTTCAGTAACTGTCCAACATGTCATGCCTTAGTTTTGTTATACTTATTTATATTTGGAGATGATTAAATTGTTTATTTCCTCTTTTAGCTCTGTTAAGCTTTTTTATTTTGCTCTGAGTTGAAGTAAACTGAAAGAGCACACTGGTACTTGGATGCTTTATTTCATCCTCAAATATTTGAATAACAAAGTTATTCCATAGAAGACTTTGTATTCAGAAAGACAGTTGTTGAAGTGGGATTTTCATTAAGATTATTGAGCCACAGCAAACGTTAATTTGTCCAGCCAGACAAAACAAGTCCATAGAGAGCTGAGGCTGGAGTTTTCCTAGCTTCTTGCTACACTGAATTTTCAAGGACAAAGTTGTGTCGTTCCAGGTAATACACAGTAATATTAAGACAAATTCAGACAGTGTTATTTTTGCCAGTGCTTTTAAGACTTGTCCAGACAACCAATTGAAATATCTCTGCTTCCTCAGCTGTTGTTACAAGACTCAAAGGTTTGAGTCAGTTGTTACAAGAATACTCAAAAGGTTATTAATTTTATCCAATTTCTTGCATGGATTGAGTGAGGAATTAAAATGCTCTTCATTGAAGGTTCTGAAGGTTTTACTGTACTTCTGTGTTCAAAATAAAAATTGATTTCATACAAGTCCAGAAAGGAATTTGGTCTTGGCCTGACCACCTTGTAAGTGGCAACGTATGATTTCAGGCACAAATTCAGTAAGTTCCATCTTAAAATTATTTAAGACTAATGAAAGAAAAACATCTGTTCAGTCTTGTCCACACTGCTCTAGAAATCCTGTTAATTGAAGAGAAGACAGATATTATGCAAACACTTGAAAATGTTGTTGTGACAGTTGGATCCATCAGATTTCAGGAGGCTTGTATCTGCAGCTCCTACACCTGTAGTGCACAGTGTTGAAGATGGCATGCTTGGATATAATCTTGCAGTCTATTTAGGATTATAAACAATGTCTTGAAAGAAATCTAGCACTCTTGGGGATTGGGCTAGATGATCTTTTGAGGTCC